TATTATTAATCTAGCAGAAGCCTAGAACTCTCATGAAAGGTCTTCATTCACAAGACTTGAGGCAGCTGGTGACTGCTCTGACAAAGTCAAGTTATACTAGATTTGGGGCATCTTGTATGGTTTTGATACAGGACTAGACTTTGAGCTTCTAAATATGGGATGGCCCAAACAAAATGGGATACCTGGGACTGCAAGATAGAGATACTGGGTGTTGAGGGCTCTTGAGACATCACTGTTATTTTTTTTCCTTAATCTGTTAGAGATTACAGATAAAATAAGCATTTTTGTGACTTAATTTTGCTTTTGCTTCTGCTGCTTAAAGCCATTTTACTAAAAGCCTTGTTAATATTAACATATTCAGATGTAGGATATATCTAAAGTTATAGAATAAATTTTCATAATGGTGCTTGAATTGTTTATGGTTTCTACAACTTCTCTAATGATTTGGATGAAGAATAGTTTTGAATGACTTGATTAGAGCCACAAGGCATGCACATTATAAGTAGGAACATAACACATTAGATAGTGTAAAATATTTATAACAAACAAAAAGTATGTTTTTTATACATCTATGTATAGCCTGGTTTGTTCAAATGAAATCTCTGAGCTCCTATAGCCATATATCCAATTTCTTATTCATCTTACCCCGTTCAAATTTCTTGGGCAGAATATGAAGCAATTTATTGGCCCAAACTTTTCAAAAAACAGGCTATAAAATTCTCTTGGAGACCGTGGCCACAATCCCATTGAACCAATGGATTTTTCTACATATCAATTCAACATTGAGCAGCAGGGGGACTGATCCAGACCTGTATGTTTTAACTGCTTCTATAGCAGTGGCCCAAAACTGCTGATGGTCATGTAAGGCTGGGTCTGTGATCATATTGGTCCTTCTTTTCATAGAGCTCAAGTTCACATATGGTAGAACAAAAATTTGAGCACATTTTCAGTTTCCATTTCTAGCCCATCATAGCACTTAACATGTGTGGCCTGAGTGAGGCTTTGAATGTATTAAAATTTCCCAGCATCTTTGGGGCATAATGTTGTCATTGATACACATACTATACATGTGCACATGTGGCTTATGGTACATAGGTCAAATCAGAACAATTTTTTGTTAAATATGAGAGAGATAAGATGAAGGCAAATTGATATGGATGGGATGGTTGGAGTAGGCATTTAGTGAGCAGCTTCACCCAGTATAGGTAAGGTAGATTATATTTTTTTAACTTTTGTATGTTTTAAATTTCAACTTTGTAGCATTTTAATTAGGTTATTTTAATTATCTTTTTAAAAAATTGTTTTAATGTGTTTTTATATTGTGAGCCCCCTTGGTCCCTTTTGGAGAAAGGTGACATATAAATAAAATAAATAAAGAAAACAAAATAAATAAGGGCAAAATACCAAAGGGGAAAAGTGCCATTGAAGATGAGCATTTTATATGCTTCCTTGAGGCATTGGCTGTGCTGGTCTGCTAATTTCTGTCTGCCCTATAGTCTAACAAGGATCATCCCAGAGTCCCTGTTGAGTGATGGTGCTGAATCAATGCCCTCAAAAAGGTTATGCTTGAAAATAGCTTGAGAGAACGGTTTACATACCAGGTGCCAGAATTTGATTATCCTGTTTGTATTGTCCTGAAGTTGTCCACTGGTTATTCTGATGGACACAGTGAATTTCACTCTTTGGTATTCATAACACCATTGTCTGTTTTGAGGTAATGTTACTCTAGGCATGCAACTACAAGAGCTAACTTTTTATGTTACATCTCTTCCTTCTGCACCCCACAGGTTTGTATGCAGCTTGGTTTATTATGGCCTGACACTCAATGTGGGTGATTTGGGTGGCAGCATCTATACTAACCTAGCTCTTTCTGGGCTAATAGAACTTCCAGCATACCCTATCTGTATCTACTTGATCAGCCAAAAATGGTGAGTGTTGAGTGCCAGAAAGACTTTATGTATACCTTAGTAACTATTTTTATTCTATTTTTTAGTTTCATTGTGGTAGATGCTACCAAATCCAGCTCTTGTTTTTGCAGGGGAATGGGTAGACAAAAATATGCATTTATTTTTCATTAGTGTGTGATGTACTTGCACTTCTTTATTTGAATGCAACTGATTTTGATTTTCAAGAAGACATGAGAAAAAGATATTATTGAAACATATGAGGGTTACACACTCCATGTCAGCCACACAAATTAAACCAATGTATCAGAGAGTACAGTTTATGACAACATCCAGTCTTTGCCATACTCCAGAGAGAGCTGTTTTGTAACAGTATGTGTTATGTGTATCATTAGATGTGGCATTGCATAGACTCAAATGACATCTTGACAGAGAAAATAAAACAAAAATGATATGAAATCAGTGCTCAATTGTGCAGTGCAACATTTCAGGACATTGCTTCTTCCTTTGGAGCTTACTAGAATAAATGGCAACACATCATTAAAAATGCATGCATATAGCACAAAAATTACCATGGATTGAGTGATAAAACATGTTCACAAATACAGACTGTTATATAAGCCACCACACATTTCCATACATATAGTCATGTGTATAAATAAAACTCTCTTATGTCTCTACTGAAAAATCACAAACAAATCCACTACTACTTACACAAACTCATTTTTGTTGGATATACACATTAATACTAAACCAACATGCTCTGTATATCTAGAGCAGAGGTGGGCAATTGCTTTCATGTCGATGTTAGACTGCAGATCTTTACCATTGGATGTGCTGTCTGGGGTTGCTTGGAGTTGCAATGCAACGGCATCTGGAGAGTCACACAATTCCCACCTTTGCTTTAGAGGTGCTGGTACAAATTTCCTTCTAGGGTTCATTTAAAAAAAAACTTTAGAAAACAGAGTGCTTTTTCTTCCATAAGGATTTTCAGTAAATTCCATTTGTACAGTAAGGCATAAGTAGCAACACTATGGACCTATAGATGTTACTGAGTCATAACT